ATTCATACATACATATATGCATGCATGCATGCATGTGTGAACAGAATTTCTGAGCTACTCAGGACTTTGGCACATTCTGAGACTCGGGACATTGTAGTTTGACGTATCACACAGTTCCTTCTTTCAGACCACTTCCCATTGCGCTACCAACCAAGATCAAGCATGCCCTGACCCAGAGATTACACAAAAACTAGTTCTTTGAAAGCTTAACACATTCTCCCAGAAGCACAACACTGCATGGCACGCTTACAGTCTGGTCAGATATCAAGAGTCCAACTGATGAGCAAGCCCCATCCACACCAGACTCTGAGAGCTTTCCTAGTTGCCCCATGTTGGAGGTTTGAATGAGAATGTCCTCCGTAGGCTCGGGAATTTGAACAATTGTTCCCCAGCTGGTGGAGCTGTTTGGGGGTGGCCCTGCTGGAGGAACTATGTCACTAGAAGTGGCTTTGGTTATTTAAAGCTTCATAACATTTTCATTTCGCTTTCTCTGATTCCTGCTTGCAGCTGGTGATTCGAGCTCTTAGCTTCCTGCCTTGGCCATCAAGTCTGCCACTTGGTGCTGTGCATCACAGACTCCTATCCCTCTGGAACCATAAGCTAAAATTAACTTTGTTTTTAAGTTGCCTCAGTCATGATGCTTTAGCACAGGAACAGAAAATAAGTAACACGTCCAGCCCTGTTGGAAAGTTGGGTGAGAGCACAATGAAGACTCCCAAAGCCCACGCTACCACAGCCTTCCACATTTGGCTTGCTGGGAAGTTCCCAACACCCATAGGAGCTGCTGCAGCCACAGAAACCTTCTCAGGCCACTCAGGAGTAATACCTCTTGACTGTGACAACCACACCATTTCATTGCTCTCATACACCTATGCTGAACTCTGACTTCCACCATAAGCCAACTGGGCAGGAGTAAATGGCACTGAAAATACACCGAGGAACCTTCCAGAAGGTACCAGAAATGAAAGCACTGTGTGACAAGCAATTAGTTTGCTTTGGACAGCTTTCAGAGTCAGACCCCGCCCCCTCCAGCATGCTGTCAACCAGGTGATCTCAGAGCCTGAGTTTGTTCACGTTCCTAGACAGTCCAAGTTGTTTCTTGCTACTTCAAGTCCTGATTGGACACTTGCCTTCTAAGCTCCCAGATTAACAGCCTGCTGGCTTCTGCAAGCATGGGGCTCACTATACTGTGCATTTCCAACACGGTAGACCCCACCTCAAAAGCAACCTGCTCTTGTCTTCACTTCTAGCTCTTTACACTGGAGATCAAGGTCACTCATTCTTAATTTTCTGCAGACTTCTGAGGTCAAAGCCCAGCTTCCACATGTAGCCTGTGAGACTTTGGATTATGCTTCCCCGCATCAGGTGGGAGTAGACCATACACCTGACCTGTGGATAGGAGAGCTGCATCTATGATCCATATGATATTCAATACCTACACATGATCATAGCTTAGTGGGCATACTCCTGTCTGCTCTACTACCAGCACCAGACATATAGCATACAATCAAGCATGACTTCAGCCCAGCATCGAGCTGACTCTTCCCTGTAATACTGCTTCTAGCTTATTACTCACAGGCGTGAGTGGTGGTTCTCAACCTTCCTAATGCTGAAACCCTTTAATAAAGTTCCTCATGTTGTGGTGACTCCCAACCATAACATGGTTCTCATTGCTACATTGTAACTGTTATGTTCCTGCTATGAGTTACAATGTAAATATCTGTTATACAGGCTATCTAATATTCGATTCCTGTGAAACAGTCAGTCTACCCCCAGGGGGGTCATGAAGCACAGGTTGAGAACCACTGCTCTAGAACAAGCCTTCCACAGTCATTCTGAATAGATAAGAGACCCTCTTAGCTTTCACCGACTATGTAAAGTGTTAGCTGTGAAGCTACAGGAGCCTCCCCAAAGCTCATATCTCACCATGCAGTCTTGGAGAACAGCGACCCTTCAGAGTGAAAGCCCACCTTTTCCGTGTGAAAGTCCACACAGATGGTTGTATCTGAAGGTCATTCTGTAGTATTGATTCTTCTAAAAATGCTCCTGGACCTATGAGAACATCTAGGCCAACACTGTATGGCTATCCCAAGGGAACTGGAGCCATCCAGGCAAGCAGATGCTTGCCAAGGTCAGACAGCTGGGTGGGAGCACGGCTGGGAACAAATGCCCTGCAGACGTGTGAACAGTGGCTTCAATTAATTTCTCCAGCTAATTAAGAAAAACTATCCATGTGTATCGGCCGATTGGGAAACCCAAGAAAAGGAGGCTAGTCTCCGATAACTTCTCCAATCTAGAAGGAATGAAGGACACCTTCCACAAAGACCTAGGAAAAAATACAACAGTCTACCTTCCAAAGAAGAGTCCACTCTACACAACCTCTAAATCCGTCTCAATATGGAAACATCCCAGGTTGCCAGGGATATTGCTATTCTCCCAAATAGCTGAAGATCATGGGCTCTCAGGAAAGCATTTACATCCCTGACCTACGCCAAGAAGAGAAGAGGGAAAAGTTCACAGATACTCAGGACAGATCCACCACAGCCCCATGTGGCCAGGGCACCTGGTTGCTTCTCTCCAGCTACAGTGCCTTTATGGTCCTACAGGAGGGCTGAGGACCCATCAGGACAAGCATCAACAGCTCTCTCTCTCTCTCTCTCTCTCTCTCTCTCTCTCTCTCTCTCTCTCTCTCTCTCT